GAGTTAATGCAGAAGCAGAGGGGGCAGGTCCAGTGTGTTACAGGCCCGAGATAATGCCAGCTCTCAATTTGGGAAGGTGAACTGTGGCCTTTGGGGGAAATGTCTCTGACACTGGGACAGCGCTTGTCAGAGGGCCCCAGTTCAGGCTCTGGGAGCTTCAGCGTTCTCCATTCGGGATGCGGTCATGCTTGAGCTATGTACATACCCCCCTCCTCTCTCTGTGGGAGCTTTCCCGGGTGACACATACATCCACGGGGTAGGGACTCGGTCCATGTGGCTCACTGCTGTGCCCACGGCTCCTACAATGTTGCCTCGAACACACGGCTCCCAGCATTGTTGGAATGAACTGGGAGGACATTCATGCCAAGGGTGGTGGGGAATATGGTGTGGACAGGAAGAGCTGTGAACAGGCAGGAGGAGCAGGGCGGGAAGGCAGGGCCTTATAAACCAGAAGCAAGATCATTCCGAATTCCCTCCCAGGGCCCTCACTGTGGTCCTGGCAGCCCAGTAACTGATCGAAGGCCTCCACCCAGCAGTGCGTGGGGGTGGCTGGGTGAGTCAAGCCTCATCACCTGCTCCCCGCATCTGTCTGGCACAGCTCGGACATGGGGAGAGCTTGGTAAGCTGGGAACAAATCTGTTCAGGGCCACTCGGTGTTGACCAATTAGCCCAACTCTTTGTCTTGATGATGCAGAAATTGAGGCTCGGGGACGTGAGGTGGCTGGTCCAAGGTCAGCATCTCCCATTTGCTGACCCCAGGTATGCTGTCCGGGTGTCACAGCACAAAGAGGAATCCTAGAGAGAATTCTAGCCCCCGGATCTGAGCAATGCCCCCTCCCTCCAGTGGTATAAATTCAACTAGAATACTCTCGCATTCCCTTCTCTTCCTAAACCTGTCATTCACACCTAAGTCCCAGGAAGGGAAGTGACCCAACAGGACTGGGTCAAGTTGGCCATCCTCCATGGATGCCTTCCACTTGACTCCTGCATACTGACCTTTCCCCTCCAATCTCTAGAAGCTGTTCCTGTCTGCTCATACCGGGGACACACTGGCTGGTTACACTGGTCATACCCCAGCATCTAGAGATTGGAGGGGAAAGGTCAGTATGACACACTGGCTGGTTACACTGGTCATACCCCAGCACACCCCACTCCCTCCACAGATACCTTCCCATGGAAAGAAAACGAGACTAAGGCAAGCCCCGGTGCCTGAGCTCATTGCCAGGGCTTCATGCTCTGGCCTCCGAAGGCGTGATCCAGCCTGGGGCTCCACGAGTCCCCCAAGCTCTTGCGCAGGCGCTTCAGAGAGTGCCAGACCTTTGCGGTTCTGATGTGCGAGGGCCGCTCTGCTTTTGCAGTCTCCCCTGGGTTTATCTGTATCACACATCTCCGTGCCTCTGGTATCTCCTGTCCTCTCACTCTGGTTAGTTCTGACCAGCATGTCAGGTTAGTCAGCTCGAAGGACGTTTTTTTACGTTACTTCTCCCATGGGCAACATCTAGCAGCTGTCCATGGGAGCCGCTTGAGTCGTGGTTCTGCTTGGGTTTCCGGAACCTCCACAGCCTTTCTCCATTTTCTCCTTTCCCCACCATCCCTGCCCTCTGGCGAGAGGTGCTCCTTCTCATTTTTTATTTCTTTTTCCATCTTCGCATCTGCGATTTCTCAGCCCAGAGCTCCCTCCCTCCTTCATTCGAGGATTCAAATCTCCTCCTCCAGGGCCCATCCCATCTCCCACCTGCTCTAAGTAGCCCCAGGGCCACATATATATATATAGATTTGTAGATCATCTAGGTCCAACCCTTTATTTTCTAGATGAGGAAACAGGCTCAGGAGGTGAGTTGATTTGCCCAAAGGCCAAATTACTAGCTAGAGACTGGAATCCAGGTTTCCTCCCCCTGCGGTCAGGTACCTTCCTACCCTTCCTGGCTGAAGAGGGCCTGTGTCTTGGAGGGAAGAGGAGCCTAGGCAGGGATGGGACTGCCCTAAGTCCACGAGCTCTCCAGCTGTCCTTATAGCCAGAAACATGCACTTAAGTGCTTCATCATAAGCTGCTCTGCACTGTTATTGAAGTGTTTCCGAAGTAGACTGTAAGCCCCTTGAGGGCAGAGAACATTCCCGGTGCCCGTCTTTGTCCTCTCCAAAGCCCCTAGTACAGTGCTAGGCCGGTGGAAGGCATCACATGGTGAGACCGGTACCCTGGGCGGAGCTTTATTTGGGAGGATAATTTTCCTGCCTCCGTTTCTGTAGGCAAATAAAATAGCATGGGAGCCAAAGGGACTCTGCCCAGAGGCAAGTCCAGTTCCTAAGTGTTCATGTAGAGGAAAGGTGGGTGGCGGTGGGGGTGCATAAGAAACCTTGGCGTTGGCAAAAATCCAAAGGGACTATTAATGGGTTTCAGGCCCAATAGGTTTTTAGCTTCCCTGCCTGCTGCCAGTATCACAGTGTGTGGGGCACACAGGCCACTCTGTTTTCTGGAGGGTGGGCTGGGATCGAACTTTAGGACCCAGGCACAGCAGGGGTGGGAATGTCTTTGGCACACGCGCCTACCCCTTCCTCTTTTGCCCTCTTCACTGTTCCTCTTGGTGGCACCTAATGCTCTCTTCTTCCCCCTCCAGCCTGCCCTCAGAAAGCTCTTGATCCCCCGGAAGCTCCTTCGGGAGAGTGAGTCTTATCTCGCCCAGGGCATGGCACTGGGACCCTGATGTCTAATGTGGCACTCAGAGGTCCTGCTTTACCCCCTGAGACTTCCACGCGTGGGGGAGCGTGGCGGGCTCAGGTGCTAGTTCCCAGCCCTAGAAATCGCAGTGCCTGTGCTGGCGGAAAGTGGCTTCAGGACGCTTTAGGTGAGATGGGGATCCAGGGACCTGAAGAAATTGATCTTGGCCTGGGCAAGATGCATATTTCTTTCCCACCTTTCTTTGTATCCAAACTTGAAAGTATGTCTTTGGCAAGGCCCTTGAAGCCAATTTACAGATTTGGCAAGTTGCCGAGGGCACCTGGAGAGGGTTCACCAGTGGAAAGGTTGCACCAACTCTGTTTCCAGGGCGGCTGGAGCCTTCTGTGATTGGTGGCCTCTGCACAGCACACCTGAAGGGCTCTCTCTCTCAGCCAGAGCATTTCTGGGCTCTGAGCTCCTCTCCTCTGGGGCCTCAGGCAGCAGACTTGTAACAAAGCCTTCTCTGGTTTATCAGTGGGTAGAAGTTGGTCAGGGTCACTGGGTGAGAGGAAATGGCTGATGACAACCACCTACCCATTCACCCTCCTGCAGCCTGGGGAGTGGAGTCTTTGTACTCTCAAGTTTGTATTTGTGTGTTCCACATGATTTTCTTCTCTCTAAAATGGGGGAGTTATTTTATTTCCCATTTTCCAGAGGGGAAATCTAAGGCTCAGAGAAGAGCCGCGGCTCACACAGGGTCAGATGAGTCACCTGCGGCATTGCAGTGGCCAAGTGTCTATGGTTCTTCCCACCCCACCCCCACCCCCCGGCTCTGGGGAGAGGAGAACTGAGGTCAAGTAGGCTGAGTTAGCCATTAGGAGGCTACCAGCGGGGTGGGTCCATCCAGAGTGCCAGGAAGGTTGCTCAGAGAAGCTGGTGGAGGGGCCATGGCTGGGGAAGTCTTTGCCCTACCACTGAGGTGGCACTGGGCAGACAGAACAATTAACGACCGATGAAGACAGACCGGCAGGGTGGCATTCCAGGGCCCTCTTGCCCAGATCAGACTCAATTATAGGGTACAATTACCCGCAGAATTGCTGTGGGGTAGCTGCCTGCACATGCCATTCGAGGCTGTGCGGGGAGATGCTTCTTATCTTGGCTCCGGTTACCCACTTTGGGACCTTGCCTTGTAGACCCTCTACTCAGCTAAAGCTTCTATTTTGGTCTCTGGGACTTACTTCTGCAGAGAGACCATATTTGATGGCAACATCTCCTTTCGGACACTCGTTCTACTTTAATTCCAAGAAACACCACCCTTTAAGCTTAGTCTTCAAGGTTCATGGGTAGGGGTCAAGGTTCTGACTTCTCCATTAATGCATGAAGCATCCGACCAATCCCAGAATTCACCTCGGCTTTGAAGGATGGGAAGGCCTTACCTCGAGTTTTGTTTTCTTTGTGAAGGAGAGAGATGTTCTTTCTTTCTTGAAGATAGACGAAGAACTGGTAGCGGTGGAAGCCACTTTGTGCTGGTGGGGAGGGAGGCTGGTAGGCTATGGGCAGAAAAGGGAGAGAGGTGGGCTCCACATGCCATAAGACCCAGGAGATCCTGGCTTCTCTGGGCAGAAGGAAAAGAGAATCATTTGTGCCTTTCGTGGCCCCTGCTAACCCTCCTGGGGTCCCAGATGGGGGCTCACCCATTGTACACCATTAGGATATGTCTTTGGCAGGATCTCCTCCTCAGTACTTCACCTAAGAAGCACATTGTGGGGGGTTTGTGACGGGGGGAGGAAGAGATGTGGTCTGGCTGAAGGTCTTGGCGCTGGCAGGCACCCTGGCCTTTCTGGGCCCGTGGGTGTTGTCCTCTTTTTGCTTTAGTCTATCCTGATGGATTTCCTGCCTCCAGAGAAACCTATCTTCCTCTGAGTGTGTTTGGCAGTGGATTTTTATTTACTTTTTCAGCATTTCCTTATGAACTCAATCTCCAAAGAAGCCAATTTCTTGGCCGGATCCGGAGGATCTGGAAGTGGTTAAGGGGGTGAGTGGGACTCGGTTCAAAGGTTTGATCATGGAAGCTGTAGAACCTGGGTGCTCGGGGCAATGGGAGCCAACTCAGGCTCTTCCGGCGGAGAAGGCCCATCTCCCTCCCTTTCGCTCTCTGGGGAAGAAGTAGGATGAGGACATCTCTATCCTTCCCCCAAGTCTACGCAGGGCCCTGGGGTTCTGCAGGCCAGACTGGGCCGTTCCAGCCGGGCTTCCTTCCAAGGCTGCTGTGCATCTTCCTCCTTCCCTCGCTCTCTTCATCTCCCTCTCCAAGGAGCCAAGAATCTTCCTGGGAGTGGGTGGGGATGGAGTGTTTGCAGTGAGGATGCTGATGGAGGGAGTATTGGTACTTTATGGCCACCTTCCTCTCCTGATCATTAGACAAGAGCCCCTTGCTGCTTGGAGCATTTGGAGTGTTCCTCATGGTGCACTTCCGGCCATGGTGCACTTCCTCATGGTGCACTTCCGGCCACGGTGGGCCTCCATTGTGCCCGCGGCCAGGGGAATTCTTGACTATTCACCTCTCCCTGAGTTTTTGGATTGTATCAGGGGTGTGTGTGTGTGTGTGCGTGTGTGTGTGTGGGCCTCCATTGTGCCCGCAGCCAGGGGAATTCTTGGATTGTATCAGGGGTGTGTGTGTGTGTGTGTGTGTGTGTGTGTGTGCGTGTGTGTGTGTGTGTGTTTTCAGAATGAGAACAGCATAAGGTGTGCCAAGAGCCACGTGAGTTTATACGACTTGGGGTCTACACTGGGGCAGGGGCAGGGGCACGTGTTGGCAGAGCAGCTGTGAGTGTGCGTGGAGGCCGTTGCCAGTGTGTGTGTAAATGTGGGTAAAACAGTGTTTTTTCACAAACATGGCCAGTGCTGAGTAAGACGCTGAGCATAGGTAGGTGCCGGAGTGTCTCTTCCTGTGCATGCTGGGTAGAGGGTAGATGGGGCTGGGCCAGCTTCAGCAAGGTTGGTGGTGCGTGGGTGGCTAAGTGCACTTGAGCGTGGGTGTATCCCACGCTGCTAGAGACCGGTGACCATGATTCTGTGTGGATAAGGATGGAAGTTGGAAATCACTGGTTCTGTGCATCTGAGAATATCCTTAGGGGAGGTAGAGACTGAATTTCTTTCACTAGGGAGCTTTCCTGAAGAAGTCTCCCTCCGAAAGCAGAGATGAGAGGCGTGAGGAGCAAGGGAGGGGACACACGCGTTGGGCTACTTCCCGGGGCCAGGCCCTGGCTGGGTGACATCTCAGTCTTTCCCACACCTCGATAAAGTAGGGTTATTGCCACTTTCTGGATGAGGAAACTGAGGCTCTGAGAGGCTAAGTCAGGTCAACAGCACGCGGTAGAGCTGAGGTTTAAATCCAGCCTATCTGGTGCCTGAGCCACAGTGATTTATGAAATCATGAGGCTCCGTCGGTCATTTTGCTCAGCCATTTCATAGAGGCCAACTTGCCCCCTGACCGCTCCCCGCATCAGTGGAGAGCCCGCTGTTGTAGCTGGGATCCGAGAAGGAGCGGGGAGGTGGAAGTGAGGATGGGGCGGGAAGAGGAGGGCATCAGAGAAGAGGGAGGTCTCTGTAGCCACATACGACCGCTTCGTAGGACTGGGGGCCGGAAACAAAAAGCAGTGGGCAGAGGGAAGGGAACGACCCTGCCAGTCTCTGCCAGGAGAGCTGATGTGGGTGCTCTCCTATAGGTGTCTGCATCAGTGCCGGCTCTCTCTCTTACTAGCTGCGTGACACAGGGCAGGTGAGTTTGTGCCTCAGTTTCATTCTCTTTATAATAGAGAGATCGTTGGCAGAGACCTTAAAAGGCAGTTGTGAAGATTAAATCAGAGCGTACGGGTAAACTCTTGGATCAGTGCTTCGCATACTGTGAAGTATCCACATGTGGTTGTATCGTTATCATTCTGGTGACTGCCATCATTGCCCTGGGTGGGGGAAGGAGTGTTGCTGGGTCTTACTCACATGATAACTCCTGGCCCTTTATCTTCCCTTTCTTCATGTCTGTGCCCTGAAACAAGAGACAGGCAGGGGCGAGGGTCACTCCTGGGGCAGCAGAAGGCCACACCATCACCCTTCAGTCCAAAGCGGCCTCTGCTGGGCTCTTTTTCTCTTTGAGCGAGTGGGATGGAGGAGGAGAAAGATGGATGGCTGCTCCCAGGAGACGTTGCTACAATGGGCTGTGGGGTTTGGAACGGTCTCCTCAGGATCCAGGGAGAGAGGATAGACACAGATATTTCTGAGAATGGCCTGGCAGCGGGGGGCGGACCCCCGATCTCTGGAGAGGCCTGAGAGGACACTTCCAGATAGGCTGCCCCCAAACTAGCTACAGGACACGACTCTCAGCTTATGGGGTCTGGTCAGACCTGAGGCAGGGGCTGACAATCCCCAGAGGCTTGCTAGGCCAGCCCTTCCTCTCAGGCTCTTTTTGGGGCCTTCACAACATTAGGCCAATGGCCACCTGAACAGCCAGAAGGGCCAGGAAGGGAAGGAGGAGGCCGGACTGCCTGACTCCTAGGTAGTCTCTAGCCTCCACCAAAATCAGCCCACACCCCCGAGGAAGATTCTTTAGCTGCCCGGACAGCCTCAGTTTCCCTCCTTCTCTTCCTTGCCCTCCCTTCTCCCCTCCGCTCAGTGTCTGTGCGATAATGAGGTGATCCCGGGGGCGGGTGCTAATTAATGTTTGCGCAGGACTGGGAGATGCTCAGATGAAAGGGACTGGAGCTGGGCCTCTGGGTTCGTGCCACAGCTCGGGGCCCTGGGCCATGCCAGGAAGCCCTGCGGCCCCTAGGTGTGGGGTTTTATAGCCTTAATGATGGTGATTAGCGTGGATCTTCATTGATTCTGCCAACACTTAACTGTGCCCTGGCCACCTTTCCACCAGGCCCTTCCTGGCGCAGCCCCTGCTCCTCCCCCTGCAGAGGTGCTCGGGGTGGTGGTGGGGGGATGGGGGGAGTGGTAAGGGTGTTGAGGGGGAGCGTGAGGTTTTATCTCAGTTCTCTGAGGAAAATCTCAGGGTCAGCCAGGTGACCCGACCCCTAGTGTGGTTTACTTTTGATTGAACTAAAGCCCCACAGCCCTATTCGAGAAACCCCTTCCCCCATCTCCTCCCCTTCGGGCTGCAGCTTGCCCACCATTTTTCCCTTTGGGTCTCCACTGGTCTGGGTTACCTTTGATTGGGGGCAGGGGCCGGAGACCATAGAGGGATGGACCCCTCCACCTTGAGCCCCTTCCTACTTTGCTTTCTTCACCCCACATAGGTGAGTTCTCTGTCCTTTGACACCCTTCCACCCTCCCTCGCCCCAGTCCCGTCTGCTCCGGAGCATCTGGTAGCCTTCAAACTCAACCCCTCGGACGGACGCAGCGCAGCGCAGCGCAGCATGCTACGGCTCTGCCTTGGCCCTCTCTCAGCTCAGTTCCTTGACTCGTGCAGTTATCGTTTCTTGTCTTATCCAGGGCTGGCGTGAGGCTCAGGTGTGGCCAGGAGATGAGCTGCTCGGGCACCGGAATTGGGAGAAGGGGCTGGGGAATGGAGGCTCCACCATACCCATCCGAGGAGAGGACCTGAGGGCCCGAGGCCTAGCAGCCACTCTCCCAAAATAGCTCTGTGGCCACCCTAGCAAGATGGCTGAGCCTGTGGAAGTCTGGCCCGGCCCGGCCCATCCCAGCCAGCTCTGAGCTCCCAGCCTCCCCCTCATTCTTTTCCAAGTCGGCCCAGCCAGCGGGTTTGTTTAAACAAAACAATAGCAACCTAAGCTGACTGTTTTCAATTCCCCACAGGCTTGGGTCCCACCCAGAGTGATAAACAGGCCTCTCTCCTCTGTGTGGTGCCAGAGGGGGTGAGGGTTGGGGCCCGGTCCATAAGGTCAGGAAGTTAGTGTGTGCAGAGCAGTGTGGAAAATCTGATCTGGAGCCTTGATTGGGGTGGGAAAGCTCTTCTCCCCTCCCTTTCCCTCGGGAGAGTCTTTTCTCATCAGCTGGGCCCAGCTTTGTAAAGACACACGCAAACCCTGGCACTCATCGTGTAAAGCCAGCGGCCCTTCCTGCCACCGTCCTTGGGCCCGCTGCCCCTGAGCTCAGCCAAGGCGGCTGCTGGGGGGCTGTGAGTAGAGGACATTGATGGCCTTCGGAGGCTTTCAGGTCTCTCTGGAGTTTGTCATATAGACAGGCGCTGGGCATTGCTGGAAGAGCAGGGGAGACAGGCACTGAGGAAGGACCAGGTGGTAGAGGGGCCCCCACCGGTATGTGGCCATTATGGCTGGTGTTTACTTTCGTTGGGTGGAGCATTGGTCCGTCCTGGTGGGGGGAATGGGGGGCAGACTAAAATTTCTACCATAGCATCAGTACCTGGGAGAGGACTTAGGAAATCAAATTCAAAGGGTGAGAAAGTCGAGTCCCCAGAGAGGTCACACTATTCATCCAGAGCCGCAGGAGCAAGTGAGAAAATCCTCAAATGTTCTAGGAGGAAGGGGCCTTAGATCCTCTGACCTTTGAGACCCATTAGCTCAGAGTCTCATGCCTTTTGACCTGCAGTGCTGTTCTGTGCTTTTTCAATGACATTATGACAATCTCATCAGTCCTCTAAGAAGTTTTTTTTTTCTTTAAAAACAAACAAACAAACAAACACGACCATTATTAAAATACACAGATATTACCTGGAATGCTGGGGTTGGTCCCCAGTGGTCACCCCTCTGTACCCCACCTTATGAAAATATGAGCTCTCCTAAAGCACCTTCATGGATTGCAGTATCACCATGAACCTGAGGTCACCTTAGAAAGCTGGACATCTCTGGGGACGGATGAGATTCAGGGATGTTTCTAGAGGGGAGAGGGGGACATTTATCCTCCTGAGCATGTCCCAGGGAGACTGGACTGAGGGAAGTGCCCTCATGGTAGATGATGAGCCCAGCATTTGAGGGACAGATTCCACACCTGTCAAGTCTGAGCGGAGAGAAACTTTGGAAAGAGAGTCTGCAGGAGGGGAAGGGCTGCTGAGAGGCCCCCACACCTTGTTGCCTCACCTGGACCCCTGCCCCCAGGCCCCACGTATGCTGCTCCTTTTTAAGATGGGCCTGGAGCACAGAAATATTCTCCTTTCTCTTACTATAGCTAAAATAGATCGGCATTTTCAAAATGAACTTGTTTAACTGCTAAGGTTAAAAAAAGGAAATAATCACAGAAACTACAAATAGTGTCGAATTAGTCGGCTTTCTGACCCCCGAGAACACTGAAGAGACGAGGATGGGTTTTTCAGGCTATCAGGACAGGTGCACCTCAGGTGTTCGGGTTTGGAAGGACATCCCGGGCCCTTCTGTGTGTCCAGGACTGGAGGACTTCGGGAAGGCAGCTCTTTTCCTTATCAGCATCCTTTGGAAGTGGGGAGCCCGATACCCATCACTCTCCCAATAGGGAAGGGGAAGAGGGTGTGGAAAATGCTCAGTGGGCTCCTTAAATGCCCAGGATCAATATAGACAGTCTCTTCTTTCCTTAGAAGTTGGTCCCCAGTGCGTATTAATGCATGTGTGTGCATGCCTATGTGGGGTATGTGCATGACTGCCTGGCGTAGGAGTTGGCACATGTTATTCCAACTGCAGAGAAGGTAGACTCCATGGACACTTTGGAAGAATTTCTGGATTTATAGAACATGAGATTTCCTCTCCAGCTTCCTCCTACCCCAGAATCTACTGCTTCTCTGTCAAGCTAGTTTGGAACTGGCATGTGAGATGCTTAAGAAAGGTTGGGGTTTGACTGACAGTCATAGCAACTCCATTCTTGGACTAGGGTGATGCAGACAGCCGTATCAGACTTGTCTCAGGTCAAGTAAAGAGCACAGTGCTGGGAGCCGGGCGCCCGCCCCACCATTCATATCTTACATGGGGAACGAGCTTTTAGTATTTATTCTCCAGGGCCCTGTCTAACCAACGGATCTTACTGCAGCCCTTGCATGGGAAGGGCAGAGACTGGTCTCCCATTTGACTGATAGAAACCCGGAGAAGCTTCTCAAGGGCAGGGATTGTCTCCTGCCTATCTCTTTAGCCCCTGAGATACGATAC